CAAATGGGTTCATAAAGGGTAAATATATTAAGCTGTAGATAAGTATGACTACCTAATGAACAGAACACTAAAGGAAGACATGGTAGCAATCTTCCGATATATGAAGATGACACAGGGAAAAAGATGTGTCTTTATTCTCTATGATATTCCAGAATAGCACATCAGAAAGCCTTAAAAGACAAATTCAAATTCCAGGAGTAATTTTCTATTCTCTCAATGATCATCCTTCTTCATGACAGACAAAAGGAAATAATTATTTACACACTTTATCTTTTATCAGTTTTGTTATTTCAAGGTATAGTGAAAGCCACCGATACGAAGTTTGATCAAATAAGAATATCAATAGCTACTAATAATAATATGCATAGAAGCAGAGACCACTAATGAATTAATGTTTTATAGATTGCTGGCTGGCAGCTGCAGTGATAAAAATGCTCCAGTAGATGGATTTATGGCTTGATCCAGCAGAGTTCTTATATTTTAAATAGGATAAATATACACATGCAGAAGACTAAAATCACTTGGGCGATTTCATAAAATTATTGAAAGACTGTTTGTTCATCTTACCTACTTCACTAAACAGCCTTGTAAAATTAAGCTAAGGGGCCCAAAAGAGCCACATTGATATTTTTTTTTTGGGGGGGGGGGGAGATTCAGTGGCCCAGTGCTTAAGACACCAAGCAACCATGAATTTTAGTCCCTCTTCAGGCATGGCTGGGCAACTTTAGGCCAGCCATTTTCTCTCAGCCCAACTCACTTCACAGGTTTGTTGATGTGGGGAATATAGGAGGAGGATATATTTGCAACCTTGTTGAGTTATTTATAAAAATAATAAAATAAGACAATTCTTTTTAAAAAAAAGGTGATGATAACAATAAGAATGACAAAAACATCATAGAGCTCCTAACCCTCACTTGTATATAACAGAGGTATATACAAAAATGTCCATACTTCAATCAAATAAAATACAAAGTGATGCTCTGTTTTATTATTTAAATTAGCTAGTACCGGAGCATATCTGAAATTTAATTTGTTTAGTGAGTTCTTCATGTTTTTGCAGTTGCATTGTCTAAAGATATCTGGTTAACCATTTTCTGTGTTAAGCAACATCGAAGTAAAACATTCCTGGTTTGAAGGCCTGTGTCATGTGTTATTTCAGCTGCAGCAGGTCAGACTGCAAAAGAAGGCTATAGTAGATGCTGTTTTGCCAACCATTCAGCGCTCAGCATCATACGCTTTCTATGAAATAATAATCCAGGCACTCTTGTGTTCAGATAATATTCAAGAGAGATGTCAGCCCTACCTCTATTCAAAGCCCAAGAAAGAAAACCCCAACTCCATTGAGATAGAGAAGGAGTATTTGTATTGAGTTTTAAATGATAGCAGTGAAAGCAAAGGCAAGATCTCATTCAAAACATGTGAAAATTACAGGTTGAAAGTTTCCACACACACCTTCCTCCAGGGTTCCTTGCTGAGTATCCAATCAATGTCCAGTATGAAGTTGTGTAAAGCTCATCTTCAGGTATTTCACCCATCTGGAGTCCTCGGATGGTTGGCCTTGACAGGCTGTAAACAACTCCACTCAGCGGTGCAGTAATTCTTGAAAGCAAACCTTCCTTTTAGTTCACATGGGACTTTACTTCACCAGCTCACTTCCCCAACCCAAATGCCACGACCCTCCCCATTACTGTGGCAGCCAATAGCAAGCATGCATCAAAGAGGTATCCCATGCTGGAGATCTGGCTTATAGAGCTGATGTGCAAAAGATCATTGACTTGAGAGGTGCAGATGATGACACACTGGGAGATTTTTTTTGTACACACAAGAAAAATGCCACTGGTCTGAAGATCTTTGACATGCAAACTGACCACAGTGGAAATAAAGAAGTTCATTGACGAACCAGGGCCAAGAACCAGAGTGGCCAATAGAGACATGTGTGAAACAGGTCACAGAGGCAGAAAGTGTATACACATGAGAAATGTGAGGGTTATGTCAGAGGCCAAGAAGCAAGTTGGTGGCTGATGTTGAAGAACGAGCGTAAACTAACTTAATGAAAGTTACTTAAATATTTTTGTAATTCAGATAATTGCTTTCTAATGTTCGGTTATGATTGCATGGATTATTTTTTGCTTAGCTAGATAAGATTCATGCAGAAAAAAACTTTAATTTTTGTAGCACAAGGTGGGTTACAAGAAATTTTTGTGGGGTGTATGATCAGATGTGGATTTACCATGCCAAGCGAAATGTTGTGCAACTGCAAAAATAAAAGCAGATTTGAATAAAAACACACATTTTTAGAACCCCTCACTGAAAAAAATTCAAAAATTAATTTTCACCCCATGCCCACTCAGACTCACAAATGTATGATAAACAGTACAGTAGCTATTAACAAATTAACCTTCCAGTGATAATGTTAATTTTATAATCAGCACTACCTTCTTAATGGTCACTGTATCCTTTTCTCCTTTCATAAAACTTCATATTTGCTTTTTATTTTATAACTATCCTTATTGCTTTAGTGTCCCCAATATTATACACATTATTGATAATTTAGGGCAATACTTAATGTAGCTTATGGAATGTACGCTAATCCATTACACCTGATTCCATCAAAATTTCCAAGATTCTCCACTTTTTTTTAATTTACACTGAAGTACAGTACTGAAAAAGTGTTACCTAGATTAGGGCACTGTTAGCCATCCCAGGAAAATCATGAAACAAGATTAGGTGAGCTAATTCTGCTTTATTGTAAAGCTACCATAACAGAAGCTTGCAAGTTGTAGTTATAAAACTAGTTCCCATCACCATTTTTAACGACTTCATCCATTAGGGCGGCCTCTTCCTAAGTTTCTTCCTCTGACCTTTAAGCTATTGGGGGCTCCTGTCCCTCTTGTCCGATGGTTTCCAAAACAGCATCTCTTTCCCTCATTCCCCAAGCCCATTCATACTTTCTATTACAGGTATAGATCTATGCAGATTGATATATGTTTGATATTTGCATTAAAAAAACTACCCCACAAGTTATTTGAGACATGCAACTGTAAAATGTGTATTTTAAATATTGCCTGTACAAAAGGAGGATGATTAATTGTTTAAAATATTTTTATGTTTAAAAAAATCTGTATTATGAAATTTATTTGGCAAAGTTTAGCCTCCATAAAAGATTATGTAAGTATTTACATTAAAATTTGCATATGTCAGGAACATTGACCATATGTGAAAGTTGTGAATGAAAACAGGTGATTTTTAATGATTCAAAAAAAAAATCTGCTAAAAAAATCACAGCAAAACTGAAAACTGATGAATCAAGATACATAATGGACAAGATTTGTTGAATAAATTATATACAAAACTGCATGTTCAGGACAGAAATGCATACATGCATAAAGGAAGAATTTGCTGGTCATCCAATGAAACTGATTCAGCAAAGTTGGGATAAAAAAGGACCTGCTGCTAAAAATAGGCATCCATGAAAATATCACAGTGCAACAAGTGTTTTTATCAATTTAATAAAAATATCAGATCTTGCAAATACATCTGATAAAATTGCAGGGTTAAATGGTTTTTATATTTACATTTACTTTGGACATAGTGTTAAATACTCCCGTTTACTAGTGTTATGGGTTATGATGCATTTTAGACATTTGTTTATTTTGATTTGTTTAATCTGTTTTCTGATATCTCATACAGTTTTTAATTTGATTTGATTTGGTGTTTTTTGATGCCTTTGAATTAGTCTTGACTTTTGGTGACTGATTGGACGAGTCCCTTGGCAAGCAGTTTGCCGTTGCTTACTTCTTAAAGAGTGTGGAAGAGTGGCCCAAGGTCATCCAGCTAAAATTCACCATCTCCTGGTTTCTAGCCTGGTGCCTTAACTACTCTCTCTCTCTCTCTCTCACTACTTCTTACTTGTATTCTGTAAGAGTTCTATGTAGCTATATAACAAATAGGACAAAACAATCAATTGTTGTGCACTGATCTTGAAAAGAATAAAAATCACACTCTTGGGGCCATAAAATCTTAATAAAACTAAAACTTTATGTAGGTCACTAGGTAAGAGCATATGAAGGTTGATTGTAAGTTCACTGGGTAGCCAGCCAATTATCTAGCAAGTTTAAATCCTGGAAACAGTCCCATTTCCAAATCATGTAGTATGTATCTATGGGGGGAAATTGCATGGACATAAAAAACTGTTCCTTCTAGGGTTTTTTGTATGAATCCAACTGTTCACATTTGCATGAGGTTCTATCAATCAAGGGCATTACAAATTTAAAAGTTATTTTAAAAATCCAAACAAAATACAAGCTTAATTTTATGTTTAGAAGGATTTTATATTAAAGATCAGAAATGAATAATCAAATAGCAGATTATAAAATTTATGTCTACATAGCAGATAGAAAATCAATTACCTAATGTCTCCTAATTCTCTTGCAAGACAATTGCCCATAACTTGGTTTCCAATGCTTCATCCAGGTCTATTTTAAGATGCTTTGCATAGCTGCATCTTTTTTATATGCTGCTCAAAGCACAAACAATTTAGGAATTGAGTTCAGGGATATAGTTAAAAATTCACTTGGGTCTCAGGTAAGATCAGCAAGGTTATTTTCCTTTCAACTTAACTCATATTTGAAGTGTAGTAACAGTAATCTGTTATTGGAAAATATGCTATGGCATTAATTCAAAATTAGACATCGGGGGCCATAACCAGGCATCATTCTGCATATAAAACTCAAATCAACCTCCTTGTAGTTTCCGCATATGGAACAATGGCAATTTTGACCCTTAACATTTTATTTTAGTTTATAGATGATAAAGGCAAAATATGCTTTTTAGATGAGCATTTGCAGTTCCCATTGAGATTAAGACATGAATACGCATCTGAAATGGAATTTTGTTCTTAAGTGGATATATGCTTTCCCTATGACAAAAGCATGAATTTATTTTTATTCTCCTATATCTAATTTTATGTCTTTTTCTTTCACTCTCTCTGTTTTTCAAAGCTTTCAAGTAGCATTCTGGATATATACAACAGTGACCAAGGAGTGACAGCTGCCAATATGGGTCTTACCAATTCTTCCTATCCTTCTAATTTGCCAGTTAAAAGGGAACTCATAGGTAATACAGCTTTGAGATTTTGGCACACTAAAAACTTGTTTAAACAAAGGCTGAAGTGTCTGTCTGTTTGTAGAACAAATGTAACCAGGCAGATTGAAAACATAATAGAAGTGATTTAAATACACATTGGACACGTTCATGGTGTACTGGTTCTACTCTCTAATTCCTTATTAACTGGTTTTAAACCATCCATGTGATTGTTTTCACTCATAATGAATTATGAAATGTGGAGAACAGGTAAGGAACACTGTTAGCCATTTAGCATTCTATTTCTAAATGACTAGTAGTCTCCCTGAATCAAAATGATCTGGTTCAAAACATTTTTCTCTATTTGTTCTGAAGTTAATATCCCTAACATAAAAGTCATGGTAGTCCTTGCTGGTCCTTATAACTAGACACATGCAGCTAATGGCTGCAATTACTGTAGGATACATAATTGATCTGCACACATTTTGACTTCTGGCCCATGATATAAATAAATTATCATCCATTACATTTGTTCCAGGTCATCATAAGTGACTCTCTTAAAGGTTCACAATACAGCCATTCACCACATTAATGAATTAACATCTTTCAGACTTTTATTCAATTAATCTAAAGAATGTTAACAACCATGCAGTTTATCAGTGCAACTTAAAGGAACAAAGATATGGTTTTCTTCCTCTTTCTCCAACATACAAATCTGATTATGCCTGGCAAGATAATAATAGGAAGTCAAATTCACTTTAAAGTATTATAAAGTTTTCTATCACCACAATGCAAAGTACAACAAATTGGATACTGCTTCCCCAGAATTTTAAAAATTAAAAATGCATGATATTAAAAAAAAAACCTCAGCACATATTGTAAAAAACAAGTAAGGAAGTAGCAAGTAGCAAAAAGAATTAAGAAGTGTGAGATGGTAAACTTTTCTTAAAAGCAGTGTTTGTAAAAATGTATTGTTCACATAGAGTAATCTATAACCTGTTTAAATAGATTTTGCTTTCTATCCCAGATACACACAGAATCACAAAAGAGAGAGTGAAAAAGGACAACCATAATCTCAGTGAGTACATTTAACACCTTCCAAATATTTATTATTGTTAGTAGACTGGAAGTAACTCTTTGCTTTAGAGTTAATGTTGAAGAAAGACTGAACAAAATTTTGTGTGTGTGTGTGTGTGAAGGGGGTTGACCTGAAAAATTGACATGGACGATAAACAAACTCTCCCAATTTCTTAGCCAAAATCATGCCTTCAATTTCTTTTTTTAATGTCCCAGTTGTAAGCCATTGGCAGATTTTATCTTAATCTACTTTCCCCTCGATCTTTTATAGAAATTCACCATATAATGCTTTTTCTTGCCAGTATTCTATTCTTGTTTTTATTGTATTATTTTGTTTTCTACACATTCAATAAGTTCCAATCTTATACTTGCATTTTACTTATTTGTTTATTTTGTCAAGCATGCATTTGATAATGTATATAAGTATAAACATGATTATTAATACATGAAATAGATACGAATAAAAGGGAACATTAAGACAGGGATGGTACGCACATTGGTGTGCTTATACACACCCCTTACAGACCTCTTAGGAATGGGGTGAGATCAACAGTAGACAATCTGAGGTTAAAGTGTTTGAGGTTAATGGAAGAAACCACAGAGTCAGGAAGACTATTCCAGGCATTGACCACTCTGTTGTTGAAGTCGTATTTCCTGCAATCAAGTTTGGTGCAGTTTACCCTGAGTTTGTATCTATTGTGTGCTCGTGTATTGTTGAGGTTGAAGCTGAAGTAGTCATTGATGGGTAGGACATTGTAATGGATAATTTTGTGTACTATGCTTAGATCGAAGGCGACCTAGTTCTAAGTTATCTAAGCCTAAAATTTCAAGTCTGGAGGCATAGGGTATTCTGTTGTGAGTAGAAGAGTGGAGGACTCTTCTTGTGAAATATTTCTGGACTCTCTTGGTTGTATTAATGTCCAATATGCAGTGTAGATTCCAGACAAATGAGCTGTATTCAAGAATTGGTCTAGAAAATATTTTGTATGCTCTAGTTAGTAATGCAATATTACCGAAGAAAAAGCTTCACAGGATTAGGTTAACAACTCTTAATGCCTTTTTGGCAATGTTGTTACAGTGTGAGGCTGAGTCAACCTTGAGCTGGTCAGGATCAAACTTCTTGCAGTGGGCAGAATTAGCCGGCAATACTGCATTCTAACCACTGTGCCACCATAGCTCCCTTGGCATTTCAATTTCATATACTGTTTTTTGATTTTATCCTAAATTATTAAATATTAATAATACTTCATTATTGGCCTTCAGTGCCTTAGATTAATCTTGATATGTTGCCTATTGTTGTGTGCATAGAAGAAAATTTTGAAATGACCAGAAATGGATTTTTAGAAGAAAGAACTACCATGCTCAATATGCAGATATTATGTGCAGAGAGAAATTGTAATAACTTGTGCCATAAGGTTAGATACCTAGGAAAATTGTATTTTCCTATCCAGTTTAAACTAAATAATGAAACCAACATCCCACTTCACAATACCATTGTATTGAATTATTCAAGAATTGATGAGGTTAACATAATTGGACTGTACTTTATTCTCATTGTTTCTGTGCAATTTATATATGCATCATGCTTCATGGTCATCTTAAAATGCAACTGCACATTCCAAATAAATTATGTCTGTATATCAAATAATTTGAACAATATTCTAGTTAACCTGATATTTTTACACCTGAATTTTGGTGACAATGATCACTAACTGTGCCATAATGTTGTATAATAATATGAAGCAAGTGAATTGCTGCATGCAACAAGCAGATATTAAATGTAAAAATGTCAGGTGTGAAATATCAGGTTCACTCAAGAAGGTCAAATTAAACTGATTTAATGCTACTCATGCCTATCACAGGAATATTCTCACCTGCTAAAATTTAAATAAGGATCAATAGAATTAAGGGAGGTATGACTTCCGCTTGTGGCCACATAAAGATTCTAGGCTGATCCCTGTTTTCACTCCACCCTCTGCCCCTCCCTCCCCTACAAGATGTTTGACAATCAAAAAGTGATTCGTACTGTTTGTTAAAAAAATACTTATAATTTAAAAACTTAAAGTATATTTGTTATGTACTATTGGGGAGGGTTTTTTTAAACTAAATTTTCAAGCACGAATGGTAATTAAGATTTTTTTGAAAGAATAATGCATACATTTTAAGATCAGAACTAGACCTTCCTTTAAGTAAACATGGATGAAATTGTACAGTAAATATTTTCATTCAAATGACAGCAAATACATGATGGTATTATCACCTCTTTGCAGCCTTTCAAAATAACTTATCTAATATGATACAAGCACTGATCCATGAGCACTGATTCACGATTTTAGTTCATTGCCAGATCAAATGAGAATTACAACTATTATTTGAATGCATAGTCTTAATGTTAAAGGTACACCTTGTTACATTTATCTTATACATCAAATCTCTATGAAAAGCTTTGTTAGTCGCATAGTTTAAATGAAGAGTTAAATGAAGAGTGTTCTTTCATTAAAAATAAATATTTTGGTATTTATTATTTTTCTCCTTTTAAAAGAAGTTTTCTCCAGGATAGTTAAACTAGCTGTTTAATGGTTTTCACAGATTAAATATTTTCAAGCTTTACAATGTAGAAATACTGTGATGTTTTGATAGAGAGCATTTTGTAACAGAGCAACTGTGTTGCTGTTTGTTAATGAATTATGCCTTTCTGTTATATTCTGCTACTATTAAGATATCTTGTTTTATAGTTGAAAGAAGAAGAAGGTATAACATTAATTACCGGATTAAAGAGCTTGGCACCCTTATTCCAAAGTCTAATGATCCGTGAGTTCACCTGTCATTTTTGTCATTGTTTTTTTAATTTAAATAAAAAGAAAATGCAAAAAAAAATAATGGAGCAGAATATGAAACAGGAATTTTAGATATCATATTTAGTGTGGACATTTCATCCAGATTGGCAGATTGCTAGAGTCAACTCCTGTGTTAGATGATGGATAATTTCAGATTCCAGTTTACATATAATATATTGGTCCACACGGTAAGATATATTTTTAACATGATACTTGTAATAGTATTCTTATAAGCTAAATGGCATTTTGAGGTAAGTATCTCCTTATTAACAGTGACAAATCATATTAGCTTAGATATACAAAGCACTTTTATATAGTATTTTATATAAAAGTCTGTTTTAGTTTGTTTTAATCATACAGGTTTTAAAATACGATATGGAATTGTTGCTAAAACTAAACTATGATTTTGGTGTATTATTAACACTGAATATCAAAATTAGATAAAACCTTTTATTCAAATAAGAATAAAAGTATGCTCATTAGAAGATCAGGTAAAAAGAGTTATAAATTTTAAATTATATTCAGAAATTTATGCTTAAATTGTCAGTAATATATGGTTCCAGTTCATTAATGGAGAGTTCTACACATAGATTTTAATCAGAGTTAATAACAAAAGCATTTTTACTAAAAATATAAAGACTATAAAAGTAGAATCATGAATCTGCACTTAGATCTTACACAAAAAAGGCACTTTATTACATTCTTTTGACACTTATTTTCATTCTGGGATTAATTTTAATATATAAGGCCTTTTTAACTATTCTATTAAAATTTCCATTCAGAAGCAATAATATCTAAGAGTGAATAATGGTCATGTAAATCATTATTTCATATTAATATAAAAGATTTTGTACATTTTTATGAATTTTGCTGACATGCACAATTGTGAAAAGGTTATCATTACTTTTTACAGCGATATGCGCTGGAATAAAGGAACTATTTTAAAGGCATCAGTGGACTATATCAAGTGGTTACAGAAAGAACAACAGAAAGCTCAAGATTTGGAGCAGAGGCAGAAGAAATTAGAGCAAGCTAATAGACGACTGTTGCTACGAATTCAGGTTTGTAGAGAAAAATGCTAGTTCAAAGCCAACCTCTTCCTTTCTTCATCTTTTGATTTTGCTACAGCTTTTACATCATCAAACTGTATTCAATGATTATAAAACACATACACATAGATCTACACCATAAGAGGGGAAATCTGTATTACTTGGAGACTTAAGATACACTTTGAACAATGTCCCTTACCTTGTTTTAGTTTGAGGTACATTGTCCAACATGAAATTAACCTGCACATAATTTTCTGGTCACTTCCTATAATAGACTGTGACTGATCTACATAATTTTTAATTGAGTAAGGTATGCACAACAGGCTCTAGATAGCATTCCTGAATATTGTAAAAAAAAAAAAATAGTATTTAGTGCAAGGCAAAACCCATGGGCCTGTTTCATTTTCAGAGGTAAACAGTACAACCAAAATCAAGTGAATAATCATCACCCACAATAATCCAGACAAGTCCCTGAAGTTTTCTTGGCAAGATTTTAGAAATAGTTTGCCATGGCTTAAATTAAATTAATATTAAATAGACATGTATAGTACTGTGTTGTAAGGTATGGTGATCTTAGGTAACAGAGTATTAAAACTCTAGTAAAATTGATAAGGACTTCCATGTCTAAATAACAGAATGCTAAAGAACACTCAGTGAAATTACAGGGTTTGAAAAGATGCTATCTAGAATATGCTTAGCATGGTAAATAGATGTTTACTGTAAACAATCATTGTTTCTAGAAAAACAATCACAGTGCAACATTTGAAAATGTGGGCATTTTAAAATTCTGAGAAGCACACAACAAAACATGTACTGTTCCCTACTTTGATTATTTTTGGTCCGTTGAACTCAAGAACCCAGACAGTGGGGATTTGTGGAAAATTTCTAATAGAATATCTATTAGGATCATACTTCAACTGATTAGTTTTTCTGACATGAATTAAAAATGTGATCTTGATAATTTCAAATAATTTAATTTCTTTGGAAATGAACCTAATATGAGTTAAGCCCAGGCAATTGCCTCTATACTATCACTGCTTCCCTATAATTAAAAAGCCCTGCTAAACAGCTATATTAAGCGATCATTCTTTATTCATACATTAGATCTCCCTCATTTTCCCAGTCTCCTATCTGACCTCTCTCTTCTTCATATGTCACCTGTATCATGGAGGATATTAGGAATTCATTCTACCAAGCAGAATTGCATCTACAAGCATAATATTTTAGATTATTAAAATATTTATATTAGTAAATATTAGTAAATTTAAAATTATTAATTTTGTTACTGATATTGTTTATAATATTAATTTTGTTTACTACATTATACTATTTTTATATTTGTTATGTACGCAGTATTGCTAGTTGGGTTAGTCTACAAATATTGAAAGATACATACATACCTACAGTTTTAATCAATTTCTACTTTATGGAAACAAGACAGCTTGATTTATAAATGTTTAAAACTGATTCAATTCAATCAATTATAACATACAAGGTAAGAAAATTTCATTAGCTTAGAAAATGAAAGCAAAGGTTTACAATCTCGTCTGTCACAAGTAACAAAAGGTAAGCCTAGGTTTTTAATATTTGTGGAAACCGAAGCAAGGGAAATACATGTTTTTGTTTTGCTTTGAAAATTTTGGAGAAAAATTGAATAAATGCAAGTTATTTTTAGCACTATATACATATATTTAATTCAGCACCCATTATGAATTCAGATATTTGACTTCCTTCCTTCCTCCCTCCCTCCCTCCCTTCCTCCTTCCTTCCCTCCCTTCCTCCTTCCTTCCTTCCTTCCTCCTTCCCTCCCCTCCCTTCCTCTCTCTTTTTTCCTTTTTCTTTCTCTCTCTCTTTCTCATTCTATATTGCTGGGACATTAAAGTGAAAGTATACTTTGCTGAGAGAATAATTGTAACATTAACTAAATTTATTTTTAAGAAATATTTTACTGCAAATGCATGTGCAAAAAGCTTAGCTTTAAAATCAAGCATTCTTCAATTTTGCTTATTTAAAGAAGCTGATAGGAAAAAAAACACGATCCTGTAAACAGAAAGAATTGTCAATTTTATATATATATGTCTGTGTGTGCAGAAAGCACTGATTTCCCAGAAAAATTGTGAAGAAGCTCAGCCTACATATTTTGTCACAAAGGCAATGTATAAAAAATTTCCTTTTTCAGAATCTGAACCTCCCCCCGCAATAGTTTTAATTTCTTCTAAGCCTTTATTTTTATCATTCTATTATAAAATAATAATTTAATTATAATATTGTTTTATGAACTTTTGGAAACGTAGTGATCTTGCACTAATATCATTTTTAAATGGGTATCTTGATTTCCAATCATAGATTAATTTCTTGGCAACTTGGCCATTTTATGTATCACTACAAAATGAAGTGTTATGAAATATCTCATAATCTATTTTTCCTTTTTTAGGAGGAAAATACCCTAGAGGATTTTTCTTATTCCTGATTTTTTTGTTCCTGAACTGGAACTGAGGCATTTATATTTGTGCTTCAAACTTAGACTCTGAAATCATACCAAGAGTCCATGGTTCATCATTATAGCTATTATGTAGTCTTTATATGGCTTGATAATGACATACAAAACTAGGCTTGACGCATTCGTATGTTACATTTTAAGCATACCGTCAGAGTAGATTTCAGAACTGCACCAGATATACTACTGTGATGCATAGAATCCCTATAATTTCTTTTTAAATCCTGCTCTCTAAATATTTTGTTTTCTAACACAGGAGCTAGAAATGCAAGCACGTGCCCATGGACTACCAATCATGTCTTCAGTCAGTGTGGTTGACTTAACCTCCAGGGTCATGAGACAACTGGCATATCCGGAAGAGAATTCAATAGACTACATTCAACATCTAGCCACGGCTCATGAACAACATGCTGATCTACATGACCCAGCTGCAGCCTTTTCTGATCCACTCTCCCATTTTACAGACTTGTCTTTTAGTGCTGCCTTAAAAGAACAGAGACTAGAAGAAATACTACTAGATGATACAATATCGCCACTTGGGATAGACCCTCTATTATCCTCTATGTCTCCTGCTGTAACTAAAGGAAGCAGCCGAAGGAGCAGTTGCAGTTCAGGTGATAGTGATGATATATAACGTACAAGAACATTCCATAGATAGAATAAAAGGAATTCTCCCTTGCTTTACTGGTGCTATATTTATGTTACTGCTTATTTCAGCTTAATCAGGTTGATTGCTGACATAATCTGTTTTGGAAAGGGTTGAGTATGAAATAAAAAATAAGAAGAAAATTTTCCAATTTTGTAGAAAGTAGTAAGATTTTTTTCTCAGACAAGGGGGGGGGGGCACACATTTTCAAGGATAACATTGCTTTTCATGCACACAGGGCATCTTAATTTATTCATTACAAAGTCACCGAATCATGGAAGGAAGTTTGAGATAACTCTTTGGCCCCTGTGCATGGAAGTTAATATTAAGAAGGCCAATTGTTCCTTTTTATGTAGAAATATGTGTAAAATCTACTTACATGACTTTCTTGTTTGGAAGTGATGACTCAAACAATCAGACATTTTGTATCATTCTTATTTATTTACCAGGAATGATGTACATATATATTACCTTGCAATTTTATTCCACTATTGTATTGAAGCAGATTGATGCTAGAGAATGTTGGGGTCAAAGGTAGCCCATTGCATATCAATCTAAAACTAGAGGTATCTGTTCTAGTAGTTCAATACTACTATAGTTCAAGGATGCTTGAACTATTGAAAATGAGAAATAGCACCCTAAAATAGATATCTGGCAACTTCTAGAAATTATTCTACGTATCATACTGCATCCATAATAGCTTACAAGGATTCAAGTTCAGAGGGTGTAGTTCACATCCTGGAATTCGTGACATTGATCATGAAAATATTTCCTACCAATTTACATTTTTTATTCACCAGGAATGAATCTTAGCGGGTTCACAGCATGGAAAGTGTGCATTAGGGATTTAAAACTGTGCTGCATGAGGGAAGACATCTCTATCTTACATAATTGGACTGCCCTATTCCCCATAAACAGGGTATACTGCCCAGCAGTATCACTTGAAGGTGAATTATATGATTACAAATTGGTGTACTTTGTCCCAGGGCAGTTTGGGGATAAAACAACCCAGTGGTTTTAAAAAATCCAGGCCATATATAAACAAAGGCCTAGATTGATGCAGACTAATACTTAAAGATGGTAAAAGAACTATTATAAATGTTAATTGTTCCAATAATTGAATAATGGACATTTTATTTGAATGGAGAAATTGTACTATAGGAATATAGCTATTGGAAACTATACTCCATTAAACAGGGGTGGGATTCAAATTTTTTAACAACCGGTTCTGTGGGTGTGGCTTAGGTGGTGGGCATGGCTTGGTGGTCATGTGACTGGGTGGACATGGTTTGGTGGTCATTTTATTGACTGGATGTGGCCAACTCAATATCACTCACATCGGGGTACGCATCTCCTCCCTGGCCTCTCATGACTGTGGGGATGCTACAACAATCGTAAGTGTGAAAAATGGTCATAAATCACTTTTTTCAGTGCCATTGTAACTTTGAATGGTCACTCCACACAAGCAAAGTACAGCAAAGGAAGGGAAAAAAACTCCGGAGACGTTCCTGAGACAGGAAGTCTAGTCCTGCCAAGAATGTAATAAGGGTTAACAGAGAGGCAGTTTCTGTAAGCAACACCAGAATGTTTCCTTCCTGCTTTCCTTACAGGATTAGGCCAGTAATTTCTTCTAACAACCAGTTCTCCGAACTGCTAGAATGTTAACAACCGGTTCTAGTGAATAGGTATGAACTGGTAGAATCCCACCTCTGCCATTAAAGTCAGGAAAAATATTGTGGAATTCATTGTAAATATTATTTGAAATGAAATATCAATGTTATGTATGAAAAAGGAGTAGATGGATAGATAGGAATCAAGGTCGAAGAGATTGAAGAACCACTGGAGTGGTTCATACACACAGGAAGTGTCTGTTTGTTTAGAATTCCTTTTGCTTCTCCCTGTGGTCACTAATCACAGCACTGAAATATATTAACTCTAAGAAGTGCAGCATGGTATAATTTTATTTCTAATATATTTAAATGGTATTACTATGTTATTAATATCCAGCATTTTGTAAGGAAATTATTGTAAGAGGAATCCCGTGGTATAGATATGCAATTTCATTCTACAGAAAATATTTACCATCCAAAGGTAAAACTAGTTGACATTGGGATAACCTTTGAAAGTTGGCTTAAGGATGTGCTTTATAGTGGGAATGCTTTTGTAATAGATGTCCACAAAACATAGATTTTTGAAAAAAAAGAAGTTTAGCAGTAACAGGCATGGGTTACCTCATTATTGGCTATATGATATCCTGGAGAATTGCATGAAATTGTAATACAAAAAAAGAAGCATACAACAAAGTAGAACTGCCAAAGAATCTCGGCAGCTTCAAAATAACCTTCTGTTGGACACTTTCCTAATGAATATATTGAGCTTAAATGGATCCATTATAAGTTAGATTCTATTGAGGTGCTTGCTATTTGTTTTTGTTTTTTAATCTTGCATCTTCATCTGCAGTATAATTTTATTGATGATGTTACAATATACATGCATTTGTGTTTTAAATTTCCATTTTTAATATTTAACAAAGGAACTTGTATATTTTATGCCTCTCTCTCTCTCTTTCTCAAAAAATAAATGCACTTCATGCAAAGAAGACATGAGAGCAATTTGCACAGTTCTCTCTCTATTTCTCTCTCTATCTCTGGGTCTGTCTCTTTTCTCTGTCAAAGAGAGAGAGAGGGAGGGAGGGAGGGAGAGGGAGGGAGGGAAGGAGGGAGGGAGGGAGAGAGAGAGAGAGAGAGAAGAACTGTGTAAATCGCTCTGTCTTTTCTGCATGAAGTGCATTTATTCTTTACCAATATTTGAAATATAGGATCAAGTATTGAAATATCTTTATTGTGTCCTTTATGCAAAGAAGTTAGGATTTGCCTTCTTACTGTGTTCTCATACATAGGGAAGAGAGGTAGGCTAAATGAATATTTGTTCAAATGTGTTTGAAAAGTAACTCAAAAGCTTTCAAAAGAACTTAGTCAAGACTCAATAATAGGTATGTACTTTCCATGTGGTGAAGATCCTAGGAATTTACAACTAAATTATTCATTGGAACAGGAACTTTGGTTTTTTTTATCTCTTTTTTTCTAGTAAGGGATATTCAAAATTCTCTAATTCCATTTAATCAGAATGAACAGTAAAATTAAGAAAAAGAATTGAAATATTGCTCTTATTTAATTCATACAGTAAATGTAGGTACTCATGAGATAAAATACAAACCTAAGCCCTAAGATATCTTAGATAATAGATAAGATTCTACATAAGCTGAAAAAATGAAAAAAAAAAAAAATGCTATGGCTTTATATTACTGTAAATGACTGACAATAATTAATATTAATAACACTGTTATATAACATTGGATTATAATAGGGCTGTGTTTATAAAAAAGAAAATTATTGTAATTTAAAATTATGTGAAGTCTTGTAGATCATTTGCATTTACTGCTACTGTTATAAATAATCGTTATTTTTATAACAATTGCTATTTTTAATATTAATACAATCACTTGTTTTAAGCAGCTGCATGCAAAAGAATATGCTTTTTTACCAACTCTGATTCAGTCTTTATTGAAGTAGTTTTAATACATGCTGATATTTTATTTATTTAAAGTATGCAATTACAACCTAAGTAAATAGATCTTTTCATAACTTGAATGAAGTCAGAATAAGCAATATCTAGTGACACATAAAAATAATACTAGTTAAGCATGCTTACTGAGGTGACTATGTTGAACAATAAATACACAATATCATTCTAAAACCTCATGGTCACGTTGCTACCCTGTTTCTCCAACAATACGGCCTCCCCTAATAGGAAGTCCCAGCATGTTTTATAGGCATGAAATGAAATTAAGCCCCTCCCCCCGAATGGTGGGGGGCGCTTGCCGTTAGGAAGTACTTTTGTTGCACACCCGGATATGGTGCTGCCTGCGTTGACCCCAAAATGAAGTGCCCCACCAACACCGAGGTCAACATCCAAGCCATCGCTGCCCGCCCGCCCGAAGATGCAAGGGAGGGGAATTAAGTCACCCCTGAAAAGATGGCCTAGCCATTTTTTCGGGGCTCAAAAAAAAAAAAAAAGACCTGCCCTTATTATATGAGAAACACGGTATGTACTATGTCCCTTAATATAATCCTGTGGGTTTTTTTTATTCATGTTCTTAAAGTTTTGGAAACAATTTAAAATGCTGTAGTAATTACTAATAGGCAAGATGATACTGAATAATTAATAAAGAAGCTGTACCAACCTTTTAAGTATGTTAAAACTTCCTCCTCAGACAGTTTAAGAGAAATAGAATATTTTATCTCAGCAAGCAATACATTGAAAATCATTGATAATTACAAAACATTGTGTCATTCAAAAGATATCCATGTTTCATGAATTTAAGAAATAATTTTTGCATTTAAAATTCTCAGGACTGTGTGCTTTTCTAGAATACATTTAAAAAATTATACATATGATAGAATGGTACATTGTTATTAAATAGAATACAATGCTAGCAATAGCTTTGTAGCAATTTGGCATATTTTAAAATTCATAGTCTTTAAAAAGGCTATTTAACGTGGCATATGAGTGTACCTATACTGATTTATTTGCTTTGGATTTATTTAATTATAATTCTTTTAATTATTTTGTTGTACACAGTGGGACTAATTAACACTTGTAATTCAATTAATTTTGAATTTGATGAATTAGAAAAGGAAATTTAACATGGGAGCTGATGCAAAAGCTTTCGTATATTTGAAGTCACAGAATGATCTGTACATAAGCAAGTTGGATCACTCTGTTAATTCAGTGAAATAACATGAGAAAATGGAATCATAATATACAGATTACAAAAACACAGTCTGCTATCTACATAATTAGAGACAATGACATTAACAAAAGACTTCCAATCAAACTCAGTGTCAGCATCATTTGTATGGAAAGACAATGTCGATTAGAAGCAAACTTGGGGAGATTTGATGCTAATCAGTGTCAAGTCTGCCAGA